AAAATCAATGAGCAACATTAGTATACAGAGAAGAGCTCTTGAGCCACAATAAAAACATGTATTAATGGAAGGAAAGGATGAGAATAAACCCTCCCCTTTCCCCATGGCTACAGATGGGAATGCCCTGCCTCTCCTAATAATGCTATTAACCATCAACTACATTTGCACAACACTCTATAATTTACTAAGACTGAGGCTCATAGCCAGTTATGCATGTTTTATGATCCTCATTTTCTGGAATAGGAAGCAGACAAGGGAGTTACCATTTGTGTGAGGAACCGGATTCTGCTTTTCTGATCAAGCCTCCCATTCTCTTTGCCGCAGCCCAGCACACGCACCCACAATTCTGTCCAACCACACTCTGGGACCAGAGCTTTGAGATGCCTGGAAAGATGCTCTCCTGTGTGTCTGGCCCAGGCCTGCACCACAGGTCTAGAATCTCTGATCCCTGCTAAGGCTGATTAGAACAAACAGCTCAGGACAGCAACTCAGAAGAAAGCCCTGGCCTCTGGGAGAAGAAAATACTGTACTGTGGTTGGACACAGCCCAGTCAAGAGTGAAAGAAACCAGAGGCCAGGGGATGAGAAGAAGAGGCCAGGCTTGTCCACAGATGCTGATTATAACAAGACTCCAGGAAAGATGCCTCCCAAGAGACTGTGAGAGGAAGTAAGATGGAGGGGTGGGATGGGCTGTGTCGGGGTGGGCTTGTAAAGTGGTTCTGTTGGGCTGGGACCAGGGCAAGAAGATCCTACAGGATGGGTGACTGGAAGGGATGGAAGGAGTCTAAGGCCCCTCAGTGGGAATGTAAAAGCCCACATACCACTCTGCCCAGCACCGCTACCATCTGCAGCACAAAGGACGATGCAACTCAGAATCAACTGTTCTGGGACAGTTTTTTCTTATAGGGGTGTTATTATAATGAAGTCTTGATTCAGGAGACATGATGGCATTTGTCCCCCATATTCATTCTCAAATCGTGAGCTCTTCTGTCCCCGTCCCCAGCTCATGGCAAGAGCCACAGCATCATTTGCTGGGGTGAATGGCTGATGTAGGTTGGCCCATTTACTCAAAGCCAGAGCCTGCAAAACCACAGAAGATGAGATGGAAGCACAGTCTAGGAATAGCTGCTGGGAGACAACATGCAGCCTGGGCAGGCAGCGGCCAGGCAGAAGCAGGGTCAAGACCACAAGCAGACAGATTGGTACAGAGGAAAGGAAAAATTTCACATTGATCAGCATTGCCTCAGTGTCAATGGTCTGCCTTTGAGAACGTGAGCCCCAAAACTAAGAGAATCAACCAGGGGAACCCTTGGCCCCAGTGTCAAAGGGCCTTATAAGCCTCCCATGAGAATCCCCTACGGACCTCTTGGCCTGAGGAGTCATGCTCCCAACTCCAGCCCCCTGCTCTACTCCTCCAACCAAAGGACGTTCCTCTGTCACTGGGCTTGAAGAACTAGCATGCTTATTGTTGGTTGAGAGCTCTTGGAAGGGTGACCTCACTTCCCTTGCTCCAAAATGGGCTACCTGGAGGCTGGGAGAGCTGAACAGGCCTGAGTTAGAGGGAGGAAGACGCTGGTGTGTCTGGACCACCTGACGTCTCTCAGCACAAAACCCATTATTTTCCAAATCCAAGAAACAACTCTGGGAGATATAACTAATTCTACACATTCTACACATGGCAAACCCAGATCAGATGGGCTAAGTGCGGGCATGTGTACTAAATCTCTTCAGTCACGTCTGACTCTTTGTGACTCTATGGATCTAGCCCACCAGGCTCCTCTGTCCATGGGATTCTCCAGGCAAGAATACTGGAGTGGGTTGCCGTGCGCTCCTCCAGGGGATCTTTCCAACCCAGGGATCAAACCTTCATCTTTTATGTCTCCTGCATTGACAAGCAGGTTCTTTATCACTAGTGCCACCTGGGAAGCCCCATGGGTTAATTACCTGTCCACAATTACCCACTCAGAACCAGAATTCCAACCCAACTTTTTTTCCTATTGTTATTCTCATTTTTTAAATTTTCTTTTTCTGTTTTGGCCTCACCATGCAGCATGGCAGACCTTAGTTCTGCAACCAGTTCTCAAACCCGTGCCCCCTGCATTGGAAGTGCAGAATCTTAACCGCGAAGCCGTCAGGAAAGTCCCTGTTATTCTCTCCTTTTTTTTTTTTTTTTTGGTTATTCTCATTTTTTAAGCTATAAACAAGCACTGCCTCTAGCTGCTGCTGCTGCTAAATCACTTCAGTCGTGTCCGACTCTGTGTGACCCCATAGATGGAAGCCCACCAGGCTCCCCCGTCCCTGGGATTCTCCAGGGAAGAACCCTGGAGTGGGTTGCCATTTCCTTCTCCAATGCATGAAAGTGAAAAATGAAAGGGAATTTGCTCAGTTGTGTCTGACTCTTAGTGACCCCATGGACTGCAGCCTACCAGGCTCCTCTGTCCATGGGGTTTTCTAGGCAAGAGTACTGGAGTGGAGTGCCATTGCCTTCTTCGCACTGCCTCTAGAGTGTTCCTGAAACGCCCCTTTGACTACTGATGCTCTGTTTAAAGACATCAAAATAGCTGTCCATGTGCCAAAGGGTTACGTTAGGGAAAGGGACTGAGTTCGCAAGAACCTCTCCTGCCATCTGCTGGTCATCCACCAGGAGCCAGTGCAAATGTACAAAGACTACGGAGGTGAATGAAGGCCCTGCTTCACCCCAGAGGTGAGCAACCAGAAGCATCGCCTTGGACAGACGGTCCCTTCCCCCAGGCCCTGGGTGGGACGATCCTTACCTGGGCTGGGCTGTATTCTTGTGCCAGAAATTGGTGATTTCATTGAGCCCCTGTGATGTGCTTGGCATTAATTAACTCATTGAGTCCTCAGAGAGATCAGCAGAACTATTAGCTGGCAAATGTGAAACTGAAATGCAGGATCTGACTTAGACATCCACGATTGGTTGGCTGATTGGTTGGTTTTACTTACACTCTCTATGACTCCATCACCTCTTGCATAAAATAAGGGTAACATAGTACTTTCACACAAAACTGTTGTAAGGACTAAACAAGTTGTGTGGTATGCTAAGTCGCTTCAGTCATGTCCAACTCTTTGTGACCCAATGGACTGTAGTCCCCCAGGCTCCTCCGTCCATGGGATTCTCCAGGCAAGAATACTGGAGTGGGTTGTCATTCCCTTCTCCAAGGGATTTTCCTGACCTAGAGGCACTTTAGAAGCCCCTTAAATAAGTTAATAAATGCTAAATGCTGAAAACAGGACAGAAAACATAGTGAAAACTAAATACATGAATATTTGCCTGCATAACACACACACACACACACACACACACACACAGGTCCACAGTGGAAACCAGGAAATGGTCCATTGCCTGGAGGTAGAATTCTCAATTTTGTTTTGTAGATTGTTTACTTTCTAGATGTGTCCTTGGGAGAACTACACAAGGTCGCTGAGCCTCATCTCCATCCCTGTAAAAGGGGGCATACAGAACTCCCTGAGTCGTGGGGCTGCTGGCAGGACCAGGACACGTACAACCATTGTGTGTAATCCACTGAGTGCTCTATGGGTTATGTTAACACTAAGGAGGGCTTGAAGCTGCAGGGTATCCCTGACTCTTAACCTGGGACAAGCCAGAAGGCAGCTAGAACTTGACGAGGACAGAGGCACACTAGCCCTCAAGCACAGGGCGCACTAGAACCCAATCCCTAAGGATACATTGCTATCCCCTTCCTAGATGGAAGAGCTCTGTCCCCTTCTCCCTAAAGTACTTCTGCATCCCACCACGAAGTAAGGGGTGGAAGTGCTGGCGGCTAAGTGAGGGACTGAACCCTGCATGTCAAAAGTCAGAATTTCTGCAGTGGATCAAGAGCTCAGGTCACCCAAGTATGGGAGCTTACACAGGGAATCCACCAGTGAAAAGGGGAGGCATCACTGCCCAGGGAAGCAGCCCCCAGTGCAGCAGAGACAAACGGCCACGCACCGGCAGCTGAGAACAGCCCAGCCCTAACTCTCTGGGGAGCAGACGAGGTGAAGTCACCATTTGGCAAATACCAGTGTGGGTCATCAGAGCCTACCGAGAGAAATGTAGGATGCATGGGCTATAACATAGGATGCAAGGACTGTAATGTAGGGTGCATGGACTGTAATCAGGTAGGGCCAGAAAGAGATCTGATTCGTGGGTCCCTACGGTTGGAAGAACATTTGCAACCTGCATGCTGTCTGTGGCGTTTCTTCCTCGGGTAAATGGGTTGGAGACACAGCTGGTTGAGTGAAGCCATGAAAGTGAGGAGACAGCCAGGACCCAGCAAGTCCGCAGAGCTGGGTCTGAGATGGATTCACCCCGGACAAATGGGAGTTCAAGTATTTGAGCCCAAACACCAGCTGCCAAGAAAAGATAGGAGGCGAGATGAGGCTGAGCCGCATCTTGTGTCTGAGCAAAACCCCACGGACTTCATCAGCACTAGGTCCAAAACGATGAGCCAAGAGTGTTCGATGCAACCGCCAAGCCAGCAAGTGAAAACGAGGATATGGAAACAGCAAGAACAGCAATCTGGGCAAGGGAAGGGGGTGGGGGCAGGTCCCACGGCCAAGCACTGAGGCCCAGACACACAGCACCCATAGGTCTACAGGATGATGAGGGCCCTTGAATCCACCCCACGTGGAGGATAGCTGTGGTGCCTGGGGCTCAGGGCCTGTCTGTGGGCTGTTTCCGGGGGCACTCAGGGTGGCAGCATGACCAATGTGGAAGAGGACAGATATCTTCTCTGGGGAGGCTGGATTAAAAGGCCTCTGGGCTTCTGCATAAATCCCCTCCAGTTCCCAGAGACCAATCCAGAAGTTTCCTTGCCCTCCTTCCCGGCCACAGCTCCCTGTGCCACATGGGAGAAGAGTTCCCCTGGCTCCCAGTGCCCAGGGGATGGCTCACTCCATGGCCAAGGAGCTTCCACAAGGCACTGCCATGGCTGGAGCACCCGGGCCCATCCTTCCCTCCTCTTCTTCCTCCCTTAGTGCTGATCGGCGTGGGCACTGAGACCTTCCTCCGGGGACAGTTCAAAAGTCTGGCTTTCTATCTGCTGTGAGTATGTGTGCATGGGCCCCTCCCTGCCAGTATGTTCTATTCCAGCTTACCCCAATCCTTCTGCTGAGATTCACCCACAGCACCTCCCCACATCCTATGCAAGCTCTGTTCTGTCCCAAAGGTGAAAGGAGTAGCAGGGGCTTCTAGAATATCCTCTTGTTTGGAAAGGACTTTAGACAGATCATCCCACAAACCAACCAATCAGCATTCCATCCATCCATCCATCCACCCATCCATCCACCCATTCATCCATCCACCCACCCTTCCCCCTACCCATCCATCTATCCACCCACCCACTCCTCCACCTACCCATCCATACACCCATCTATCCATCTCATCAATCATTTCTTTATTCATCAAACATTAAGCAAGCTCTTTTTTAGAGAGATGGGAATCAGTTCAAAGGATTCTCTATTTGAGCTCCTTTTTATGAGCACAGTTAAATGTTTTGTTTACATTATGTCCTTTACCTTTGACAGAGTTATAGGAGAAGTGCACATTAAAAGAATAGTCTGTTTTGCAAATTAAAAGAATACAGAGGAGTAAGCAGCTCAGCCCACATCACCAAGCCCAAGACCAGCAGGGCCCAGATTCATCCACCTGGGTCCCTTTAGTTTCTCAACCTGTCTTTCTCATCTGCCAGCTGCCTCTGCAAATGCCCTCTAGTTGGGGGGGGGGGGGGGAACCTGTGCAGTGGTGAGGAGAGCCTGGTTTCCCTTCCCTGAGTGTTCTGACAACCCAGCTTCTCAGCAGGCCACCTTGAGGGACCACCAATCTGCCTGCAGCATCACCAGGCTGCATCCTCCGCCCACACCTGCTCCTGTCCACACCCGCCCGCATCACTGTGCCTCCCCAGGGCTGCTCCTCAGAGCAACCTCCTTGGTTTGCTGTTAATACATGGATCACACCCATTAGCTCCCAATCCCATTCTCCCCTTCCGGTCCATCTCCACTCTACCACTTTAGCCACTTAAAACTAGGTCCTTCTGACAATCTTCAGTGGATCCCACAGCCTCCAGCCTACACTCCTTTGTCATCTTCTGACCTCTGTCTTATTTCTTATCCCTCAGTTTATACCCCAGGAACTTCTGACTCTTTCTCAAACTCACCCATGTCACCTCCCCTCTAAGCCATTACTCCATCCTGTAGAGTGCAAGAGAGCCTTCCCAGTCACTCCAGCATTCCCAGAGCCTGACATTTTGCCCTGCGTGCCTCCCGAGCCTGGAGCCCCCGCCAGACAGAAGTGACTTTTCCTGGCTCCGAAGGCCCTTCATGTCTTACTGAGCCTGTGCCCGGCCACTGTGCACTGTCTTCCTGGAACCCGGAAGCAGGGCAGGCCTTCCCTCTCTCCCATGGCTGCCTAATTAGTCCACAGTCCTGGTGACCCTGGGTAGATGGATATGCCTGCCAGTGTCCAAGCAGCAGTGTGTGGGGTCAAGGTGGTCTTCACTGCTGGCCTGTAGGTCCCTCACCTACCTCTGGGCCCCAGCCTCCAGCCCACCCCCACTACCAAGGCTCAGCCCAGCCCAGCACAGGGCCTGGCATCCAGGAAGCTCCTAGTGGCTGTTGGCTGGATGGCAAGATTCGGTCAAGAAACTCCCGGTCAGTTGTTCAGCTATACACAGAAGCCCAGGAGGCCAAGGTGCTGTGAGAAAACTCCCAAGGAATGTGAAGAGTGTGTCTGGCCTCCTTCACCTGTCTCCACACAGGTTTACAGGAGCTGCCGTCTCTGTGAGCGAAGGGGCCTACTTTGTGGCTCAGCTGCTGTCCATCTGCTTCCAGTAAGTAGCCTCTGGAGCTCCCCCAATACCCCCAGGCCCAGACACCCCAGATGCCTCCACCCATGAGCACACGACTACAAAGTGTTATACTGCCGAAGCAGCAGTAGATGGGTTCCCCTCCCGACCCCGCAGTGAGCCCCAGCCCAGACTTGGAAGTGGACTGACACATCCATCAGGGCCTGACTCCACCCAGAGTCCACTTGCAGAGTCATCCTCATCCTCCAGAAACACCCAGTCGCCATACCTGCCATCTGAGTCGGCCACCAAGGGGCAGAACCCCACAGAAGGCCAGCTTGGACCATGCAGAGCTGGGTTTGAGAACTGACTCTGCCTCCTGCCAGGATGCAAGGATGAGTCAGGGCCTTGGCCTCCAGGCCCATTTGTGGGGCAGGACTGCAGACCTTGCAGGGTCTTGGGAGGCCACATGGCCAGAGGCCTGTACCTCTGCCCACTCGTGTTCAGCTCACAGAAGCTGTCATCAGTGTGGCCAAGGACTCATCCTGGGCCACATTCTCAGAACCTACACAGCTGGGTCTCTAGGCGGTCAGCATGAAGAGTCAGACTTCAAATCCAGCTGTCCTGGTATCTTGCACGGCCACTGGCTGCCTCCCAGGGTCACCAGCCTGAGACAGAAGTCTTCCCCCATTTCTGCTGAACACCACTGCTGAGGGACCCTTGCAGCTTCTCAGGGCAGGGGAGGGTGCTGCCCTCACCCTAAAGGGGCATTTTACCCTCTGACTTCCTCCGTTCCCACCCTGGGCTTGTCACAAAATAATGACCACCAGGGGGCACCAATGGACCATGGCAGAAGGCTCTGGTCCCACATAACCCAGCCAGACGTTCCTGCAAAGTGAGCCTGGGCTGTGTCCAAAGTCCGCTTCAGGCCAATTCACAGGGTGAAGGAGAGGGAACTAAACGCAAACACTAACTTCCTTTGCAACTTGGAGGAAGCATCCTTAAGGAAACCTGCTCAGCATCAGACCTCTACCAGGCCCACCTGTTGGTCCTTGCGTGCCAGTTAACATAGAAGCCCCTCTAGGCCGATGCCATCTCATGTCTAGGCAAGGCCCCTTTGAGCGGGGTACAGCTGGATTCCAGCCCTGTCGCCCATGTGTCCAGGCCCTTTGTACAATGCACAACCCTCACAACTGTCCCATCCAAGTGTTCCCCGTGCTGCACACCTTCACTGCACTGTGGACTCACAAGGTGCCCCTGGGTCTCCTACTCTTCTTCCCACCACCTTTGCAGCATCCTGAGAGCATTTACCTTCCTCCGCCTAGACCAGACAGCTGTGGCTGCACGGCCTTTCAAAAAACTGTTGGAGACCCTCTGGAGAGGCTCGGGCAAGGCCCCCTAACTGTGAAACCCACAGTGAGGAGTTCGCCTCCTGGGAGGAGTTCAACCAGAGGCCACTGCAGAGAACATGGCCATAATGGAACCCAATCCCAGACTCTGAGGGCTTTTTACATTGCTGGGACTTTTCAGGGCGCCTCCCTACTTCCTGCCAATCCTGGACTTCCTCCCCGCAGGTGTCAGCCAGGGTCCCTGGCCTACAGAGCAAGAGAGAAGGCCCACTGGCTGGGCTGCTTCCAGAGGTTCCTGGCCTACATGCTGCTGTCGGTGGCCTGCTTCCTCCACCCTGTCCTGGTCTGGCACGTGACCATCCCAGGTAGGAGCTCCAGGAGGTAGTGGAGGCAGGCAGGCTCTGGCCGAGGGTGGGCTCTGAGCATGAGAGTCTGAATCGCCCTCTCATGGGCCTCCAGTGATGCCGGCTCTAGGGCCCCACTGGTCCCTTCCTGGCATAGATTGTAGGGATGAAGAATTTATCAAGAGGCAGGAACATCCCAGGAAATGCATTTTTCCTGTAAATATCCAGAGGTTATACCCACAAAAGCAAACTGACCTTTTCTCCCATTCTTGTGTGTGATCTGAGCTTTCAGAGAGAGCGAGAGATCACTTATCCATCCAAACCTTTGTGTCTCCTTAGCCCCTGTCCATTCAGGTCAAGACTCCTCAGCTGGTTTGAAAGGCACACTAAATGGGACCCCCAAAGGCCCTCAAAACCCTTCTAATTATCCCCCTCTATTCATCCCCCTCTACTCACCCTGCTAGCCAGCCCAGTTTTCTGATTTCAGAATTTGGAAATGGATGCCTCTACCTCCTGCGTTTCAATGAAGCCTTTTTCTGCTGGGACACTTCTCTCTCCTCCCTAGCTGTGAAAACTGCACCCCTCCTCAATACCCATCTAAAATGCCAGGAAGCCGACCGCCTTTGGAAATGAGGTTCAAAGGCAGAGCCTCCTCTTCTTCCCTGTAGTTTCTACCCTAGCCTCTCAGATCTATCCTCACCTCTCAGGGCCACTCCAGGCAGCATTCAGTAGAGTCAGACTCAGCATGGCCAAGGTCAAAGTGAGCCACAACCTCCTACCTTTAGAGAGAGTGAGATACACGGGAGGTTCCGGCCCCGGCAGGCAGGAGAACCACCTTCACCCCTTCCTCTGGACCAGGGGGTGCTCCTAGCAGGAGACAGAGGGGCCTCTAGTTGGAGGCTGCATGAGGGGCCAGGAGGGGAGTGGACACTGTGCCGGCTGCACCCAAAGGGATTTGCAACTTCCTCTGTGTTTACTGGAGGCGGGTGGTAGTAAAGGAGGTTGTCCCCACTCCTTCTATTCCCAGGAAATAGAAGGAAGCTCTGATCAGCAGTCGGATCCTGGTATCCAATGTAGAGTCCAGTTTGCTGAAGGCATTGCAGGTCCAGACACAGCAAGCCATCCCTGAGAGGGAGGCTGAGCACAGTGAAGGGAGAACAGGCAGGAACAACACAAGGATCAGCTTCCTACACAAAGCGGGTCTCAGGCACAGGGTCTCCTGGCTAATGGTCGCGGTGAAGACCCCAGGATAGACTGGCCCTGCTGACATCTCCTGCTGGCCAGGCATTAGCCTGCCACAGGGTCTGATGTGGGTGTGTGAGGACACGTTAGGTGTGCAGGCTGGAGCACTGGGGGCCTAAGTGTGGCTGCACAGGCCGCCTGCACAGGAACAGTGGGCATCTGGCTTTTCTCAAGGATGTGTCCAGCATCCTGACCTCCCAGATCTCTCCCAGGCTCTATGCTCATCATCACCGGTCTGGCCTACTTCCTGCTGAGCAAGCGGAAAAAGAGCAAAGCTGCAGCAGAGGCGCTGGCCCCCCCAGAGCAGTACACAGACCCCTCCAGCAGTGTGGTCAGCACCACCGGCTCTGGGGACACCGAGCAGACCTACACCTTCCACGGAGCCCTCAAGGAGGGACCCGGCTCCCTCTTCATCCATGTGAAGAGCATCCTGAAGGGGACGAGGAAGCCCAACGCCCTCCGACACCCGGACACCCTGACGGAGCTGACTCTGGAGCCGGCTGACTCGCTGGCCAAGAAGAAGCAGGTGCACTTCGAAGACAGCGTGGTGAAAATCATCCCGGCCCTGGCAGAAGGCCCGGATGATGGGGACAGCGAGCCAGAGGAGACCACCTCTGACACCACCCCCATCATCCCGCCCCCCGAGGCCCCACTCTTCCTCTCTTCCCTCGCGAGCCCTGGCCTCTTCTGAGCTGCTCTTTCCAGGCTGGGGGATGCTCAGCAAGGAGTCTGTATAGATATATGGTCCTGCCAGGAATTCCCTGGTGTCCAGGGCCCCTCTGGGGAGCTCAGAGTCTTCACAGGTCAGCTCTTCAGGGGTTACCAGACATCCCCATGGTGGCTGGGCCTCTGGGGCCATTGGGCAGCAGGACAGGTGCTGTGGAGACCATGAGGGTGGCACAGATGAAGCTCACGCTGCCTCGAGCCCTCACAGGTTCCTCCCTCCTGGACCCAGACTGGGGAAGTCCCTGTGCTTCCCTGAAGGAGATCACCACTCCCACCTCACACAAGGCATCAGCCCAGAAGTCCTGGGGCTTTTTCGGCTCCTGAGCCCGGATCCTACACTCTACACCGTCACAGCCCATCTCCTCTCTGATGTAACATAGCTCTGCAGGCCCAGCGGTGCTGTGGCAGCTTATGCATCTCAAAGGCAGGTGTTGACGACCGCCATGGTCCCGAACTCCAACTGAGAGTGTTCAGGACAGGAAGCAGGGAAGGAAGGCAAGGTGGCGAACCCCCAGGGTGGGAGCGGTGCCAAGCAGTAGGCCACATTCTCTGCGTGCTCCAGGGCTGGCGCCAGGCAGCAGGAGTCACAGAGCCACTCAGGGAGACAATGCGGCTCTGTGCTCACTGCAGGGAGAGCGGGGCTGGGACAGTGATGCTCATTCCAGAAGCATCGCTGAGGGCTCCCTGTATCCCCACCACATGGGTTCTCAAGATTCCAAGCAGATGATGTAAATTAAAAGAGACTGTGAGCCGACAATCTTCGGCCGTGAATGCCAACATACATGACAAGGCGCCTGCTGTGTGCAGGGGCCACGGGGCGGTGCCTTGGGGACTCACACAGCCTGGAGACATGGCTCTGGCCTGCTTGGTGACTAGAAGCAGAAGAGGTGAGAAATGCATGTTTGTTCAAAATGGGAGAGAAGGAAGGAAGAGCAGGGGAAAGAGGGAAGATAGGAAAGTGGGCAGGAAACAGGCCAGCCCTGTGCCACAGGGCCATGGAAGTGACAGTTAACCCAGAATGAACAAATAAAGTTGAATCAAATATTCAGTTAAGGAAACTGCAATATATGTTTCTGAAAAGTGTTCTCTGGTCCTTCAGGTGGTTGCAAGGCAGAACAGATGTGTTATTCTTCATAAGTAATCTTAATTAATGAGCAATTATATTATATAATGCTTCCCATTTGTGTGTGTGAGCAAACACTAGGGTTCTGCAGAATAAACCTTAGAGCACATGCTTTGAGGTTTAGGTAAGAAACATTTGCTTATTCTTGTACACTTTTCCATATTCCCTACAAGTTATTTCGCAAATGAATGGAAATAGCCAACCAGAAGCTGGTATCAGTGTGGTGCCTACACGCAGCAGGTGTCCCAAACAAGCAGACTCCTTCCTGGGGACAGGGGTGGGGGGACAGTTCTTCTATAAAACCAAGTGAGAAAGGATTCTCTCATAAGCCCTCAAAGGTGGAAGCTGCAGAGTTGTTTCTTTAGCCGCCACCAAGGAGGAACTTCAGGAGTCACCGTCCGGGGAGAATGAGTAATATGGATCATGGGTATGTGTAGGCAGGGATTGTGCTGGATTCGTAATGGGCCAGGGTTCTCAGGCTGGCCTGCTGTGCACCCAGGGAGCCCAACTGGGAAGGAGTTAAGGTCCCCACCTGTCATGGGGGGTGGGGGCAGAGGTGATGGGCAGAGACATCCTCACTGCACAGGCCTCTAGAGAACACGATGCTCCTACCCCATTCTCAGCCCAAGTCAACTGAGCTAGATGGATGACTCGGTCTCAGTAAGCATCTGGGAAACACAATCTCAGAGATTTCAGACCCCATTAGTAAACATCTCAGTTTATTAAGAGATGTTTAATAAACATCTGCTATGGCATTGTTCGTGAGGTGGGCACTGGGAGTTCCGGGTGATATTCTGAAACCTCTAGGTTTCCTGGTGGGCTTCTCTGTAAAGAATCTTCATGCAATGCAGGACACCTGGATTTGATTTCTGGGTCAGGAAGATCCCCTGGAGAAGGGAATGGCTACCCACTCCAGTACTCTTGCCTGGAGAATTCCACAAACAGAGGAGCCTAGCAGGCTACAGTCCATGGGGTTGCAAAGAGTCAGGCATGACTGAGCCACTCAACACTAGCAACTCCACACTAAGGCTTCCTGGTGCCTGCTATCAGTAAAGGGAGTCTGCTGAATATGAAACATTAGAGGCTTAGGTGATTATGAACTTACCTAGGTTAACAAGCTAAAGTTCTTCAACACTCTTCTTGCTGACCCCACCCTACCATTCAAAACAGGCTTGGATGAGGTCATTCAATAGACCAGAGCCCTCATCTCTGTCAACGGACCAGGCAAGAAAGTAGCACTTTCCTCAAAAGCAGGCAAGCACCACGCCTCCATCTGATTCTCAATCCAAAACACTAAACCACATCCTTATCTACTGCTGTCCTTACGAAGATGTCCTGACTTCCATCTCACTGAGAAACAAAGACTAGAAGGGCTGACCTTTTGGTAGCCTGCCCCACTTTCTCAGCAGAAGGCAGAGCAGACATAGTGTAGATGCAGAATAGAACTATTGGACATGTAGCACTGGGCTGAGGTGGGGGGAGCGGGGGGCAGGGAGGGGGTGTTCTTAAATCTGCCCTTAACACGTTGACTGACCTCTGCCAAGCCCCTTCACCTCCCTGGGTTCCAGGATCCCCTATTAAGTAGGAATAACAGCACTTCTCTCAGAATAGGTGCAAAGTCTTCCCAGAAAATGGGGAAAGTGCTTTTTCAGATTACACATCGCCCAAGTCGGTGTGAGTGCTTGTTACTGTGGGTCCTGCAGTGAGAAAACATCAGCAAGGCTTGTCTCCGGGGCACAGCCAACGCAGATCTCAACTCCAGATTCCAGGGCTTGAGCCTGGAGAGGGTGTAGACACCATGCTCCAGCTTCGACAGAAAGCCAAAGCAGAACCCCAGTAACGGGGAGCCATGCTCTAGGGTCGGTGGGAATGGGAGGTGACCTAGTATTCTAGTCTCTCTCCTATTAGTACTAAAGGATTATTTTTTAATTTTTAAAATAGCTTTATTGAGATACGGCTCAAGTACCATACAATTCACCAAAGTGTATAATTGAATGCTCTTTGTTATATTCACAATCGGGTTTACTACAACCTAAGATAATATATTTTTATCACCCCTACAAAATGTCTGTTACTCATTAGCAATTATTCCCCACCCTACTCCACTCCTACCCTAAGCAATCACAATCTACTTTCTGTGTTTTTAGGTTTTCCTATTCTGGACATTCCATGTAAATTGAATCATATGATATGTGGTCTTTTGTGAGTTGCCTTATTCACTTAGCATAATGTTCTCAAGGTTCATCCATGTCGTAACACATATTTTACTTTATTCCTTTCCATGGCTGAACACTCCTATATGGATATACAACTTGTGTTTATCCATTCATCTCTTGATGGACTTTTGGGTTATTTCCATTTTGTGCCTATTATGAATAATGCTGCTATGAACATCCTCATGTACAAGTTTTAGGGTGAACATGTATTTTCATTTCCCTGATATATACCTAGTTGTGGAATTGCTTGGTTAAGTGGGTAAATCAATGTTTAACACCTTGAGAAACTGCAAAACTGTCTTGCAAAGGGGCTGCATCATTTTACCCTACCATCAACAGTATATGAGAGTTCTGATTTCTCCATATTCTCACCAACATTTGTTATTGTCTGATTTTTTATTATAGTCATTCATAATTATGGTTATGATATGCATTTACTTAAAGACTAGTGAGTTGGGGCAACTTTCCATGTAATTATTGACCATTTCTATACCTTCTTGAGAAACCCCCATTCAAATTGTTTGCCCTTTTTTAAATTGGACTATTTGTCTTTTTATTGTAAGAAAAGAGCTTTTAATATATTATGGATACTAAACTTTTACCAGGTATGAAATGTCAAATATTTTCTCCTATTCTGTGGGTTGCCTTTTCTCTTTCTTGAAGAGTCTTTTGAAGCCGTTTCTTTTTCTTGCCTGATTTTCCTAGCTACCACCACCAGTACAACACTGACTAGAATAAGAGCAGACATCTTTATCTTATTTCTGAGTCTCAGAGAAAGCAATCTTTCACCATTGAATATGATGTTAACTCAGTTTTTTGTTGATGTCTTTACGAGGTTGAAGAAGTTTCTTTCTATTTCCAAGTCGTTGAGTGATTTTATCATGAAAGGTTAGTGGATTTATCAAATGCTTGAGGGAAAACTATAATCTAAAGTGAAAACTGTAGGGCGAGGGATCCTCTGTGTTATTAGCTATCCTTGCCCAGAGTGGACTACAGGTACCTGGAATAATTTCCAAGAGAGAGAACTGAGAGGGAGTAAGCCAATGGGTCGTGGTTCAAATGCCATATATACCCTCTCTGTTCTCACCAGGATTTAATAGATTTTCTTGAATCAACATTTCTCAATTTGCTGTATGCCCTTAGGACAATTTCCAGAGATCTTAAATAACTGATACTTTTAATTCCTCCTGCTAAATAGTTGGTTAGTAGGGAGAGTGTCCCCCGAGCTCCTTACACTGCCAGTCCATAAATCTTGCTCCTAATTACTTTTGGCACAGACATGAAGACATGGCATACGTTGATGGGAATGTTGACCATCAGGTGCACAAAGTGTAGTCTGGAAGCCTACATCTGCTTTTCACCATCTATGTGGTCAGAGCTCATGTAATCCCTCTGAACCTCCATTTCTGCACTTGGAAAAAGGAAATAATGAGAGTACCTACCTCTAAGAACTGACTGATAGTTAAATATAAGGATTTAAATGAAGTAAAGCACCTGGTTGCTGGCAGGGACTTACCAAACATAAGCCTCCAGCCTCTGAATGTTCCTTTTTTTAGAACATGAGTGCCTATGGCCATTCTGGAACGTTTTGCTGGCTCCCTGGTCAGCTTTGCTGAAATGTAGCTC